GAATATCGATTAACCCGATGTAACTTCTTCGATCGCTGCTGGATACAAGAATAAGAAATTACGGAACTCCGACGAAACACGATACGGAGCAAGATCAGCAACGAGTACACTTTCGTTTGGCAATTTCTCTTTTTCGCTTGGTTTCCTCCTCCTATTTAGGGTCGTCCGATTCATCGCTTCTCGCGGGGCTAAGCTCTGATTAAATATCGATTTAAAAAGATTTTTAATTTCCCGAGGGCCATTGTGTTCCCTGCGGCGAATTGGGAAGCCTCCAGGTGTCGGCTATACGTCACAGTCACTTCAACAATGGCCAGCCTAGCTATATCAATCGTCCCAACACCAACATCAACACGTAGCCGAGGATAACAGCCGAAATCGACCAACGCACACTCGCCACGCGCCCTTACAAATTGCCATCAAGGGTGCTAACTAACCATGGGCTGCGTGTTTACGAAAAATGGTGACCCATTAATAACGACGGCAATACCGGCTCCGTGCCAATTCGTCATTGCACCCCGCGGAAAAGACACTTTCCGCATGAAAACACTATCGCTTCGCGAAATCGGCAACCTGTGGACTCGTCCGTCAAAATCCTATTTCTCCCTCGACGATAAATATCAGTTCCTTAGCACGTAACGACTGCAATACCAACTGCGAATGGATTCGAGATATAAGTAAATCGAGTAAAAATTAAGACAGGACAAAGAGAGAAAAGAAAAAGTTAAAAATAAAGAAAAAAATTCACAGTAGCCAATACGGTAGTGCAGATCAATTTTCATGTATTTCCCATAGGGTAACACACGCAGCATCCTGGCACGCGTATAATGCCAAGTATTACAGGCACTTAGTCACTTTTGTACCATTCCCGGCATTGTCCTAAGACAAAAGACGGCGACTCCCAGAGGCGATTCAACTGTCCCATACGAGGCAGCCGCCGGCGTTCGAATAACCAGGCGATGCGTCTGGTCGTGGCTAAATTAAGCCGCTCGGCGCTTATTCATACTGGTTCCTGCACACACGCCCTGCATACGCATTACGCTGCCCCGCATTACGTGCACGCGCTGCTTCATTGTGTCGCTTCGCTCCTTTGTTACTTTCCTTCATTGCGAATTTAAATGGCATCCTCGTGTTGGCTCGCTTTCAGACTTTGAACTGTCTTTCCGTTACAAGTTACGTTTGTCCAATGAACCTTCATTCGCTGATACACAGACGATCCTCAGAATTTGGATCTGCGACCGCCTAGTCTGGTCTGGCTGAACACGGAATGCATCTACTTGAATGATACAGCACAGGAAGATATCGAACGTGATACCAGACCGGATGATACGCACACGTGGAAGAGATCCTCGCTTTGCAGAGCAACTTTATTCTATTATGTTATTGGAAGAGACGGGATCCTGGAACTTTGCGAATTTTCTTTTCTACCAGTTTCCTTCCTTGCTTCTTTCCCCTCCTTCTTCTTCTTCTTCATTCCTATATTTTCCCTAGCCGTCATCCTCCCTTCCTCTCTCCCTGAACGATGCATCGAAAGAAATACTAGTTACTTTCAGCCCGATCTAGACGCCACTCGGAGCCTTGATACATCCTCTCGCAGCATCCTTTCATCTCGGCACATCAAAAGGCAATTCTCGAAATTATGGAGATTTTTCCGAAGAATTTCACGGAATCGAACTCTACGGCTGCGTCCTGCTCTGTGTCTGGTTTGCCAGGTTGATTCGGCTAGTTAGCTGGTTGGCTGCTCTTTGTGTAGCCAGAAAAGGTTTCAGTAGTAGATAAGGGATGGCTGGAACAAATGAGAGGTTACTTCGTCCTCTCCAAGGGGTTGCTAGATATTTCTGATCTTCCGTCCCATCGGCTCGTGGCGCGCCTTCGATCCTTTCTTCCTCTGACTATTCCTGCCGCCCCCGTCGCTCCATCCATCTCACCCCTTCAGCCCTTCTCTCCTCGACCCCATCACCGGTGCATCATACTTCCCGACTCACCCCACGCCCGCAGAACTTTGGACTGAACCAGGGAAACCACTTTTTTTTTTTTTTTTGGTTTTTTTTTTTCCATTTCTCGCACAACGAAAACTCGCTTCGCTGCCGAAGTAGTTAGCGGGCGCTTTATGGCGCCGACAAGTCGTGAAGGCTAACGAAGCCCCAAACTCCAAGAAAAAGGTCAGACCTTTTGAGTCACCCTAGACATTTTTATACCATCGACCCAACTATTTTCTTAATGGCGCTCGCCCCTAATTGTTACTAATGATTCTCGAGCCATCCAATCCATCCGCAATCACTCACACGATGTGGCAATAGTGAAAGCATTCCGGAGAATGGGCGAACCACGCGCTGGCAATGGCTACGCCTGTATTTCCGCTACCCTTGTTTGCCGAGTTTCAATGACGATTATCTTCCATTGAATACAACCTGGAAGCTATTCGGGCCGGCCCAAGGTTTCTATTGGCATTTCAAATAAAAAAAGTTTCTGCGCCAATGCAAAGCAGACCGCACTGACTGCTGAATGGCGGCGGACCAATTATCACCGCAGCTCAAATATGAAGTTCATGAAAATTTACTATTCTACTCTTCACTGAAAATCATATCTCGCGTCACGCCAGGAGGCTCTTCGCGTTATTAAACGACCTGAGTAAATAAACCTAAGAATCCATTGTCACGCATCCTGAAGGATCCTTCGGGAGGTTTCATAATCTCATGTATAAATATAACGTCACATTAGAATTTAGGGGCGAAGCGAAGATCCGGAAGCCGTCTGCTTATATATACTGCTTGTCCCGATGTCGTTTATTTCAAGACCTACAGACGTTATTGTGCCAATGATGATATCATGGGGTAAAGTATCGAGTGTCTCCGGAACCAGAAAGTATCGGGAACTGGATTAATACATTTCGAAGTGGTGAATCCATTTTCCTACCCGAGTCGGTACAGTCGCTTCTCAATTTGTAGTCGCATTCAAACGAGAACATTTAAATAATCCCGATGGCTCTTGACTCGTGAAATAAAAGAAAAAAAAATACCTTCGAGGATTGTCGAGAGTCCCCCCTCTCTGTCACTCTCTCTCTCTCTCTCTATCACTCTCTCTCCCAACCACTCTCACGAGAAATCGTACACGCCAGGGTGCTCCTACTTCCGCCCTTACCCACCCAATTAGCGTTAATCCTCGTTCGCTTTTCCCTCTAATCTTTATTCCTTTGTCCCTGGCGTGGGCCCCTCAACCTCTGCCACAGATTACCGCCATGTACCAGCTCGTATAGTTCGTACCGGGTGGGAGATTCGTGCTTTTCTTTTCTCTGGGTTCCTCTTCATAATTGACATATTCTTTTTGCAGTAATTTGACTTAGTAGTTTAGTCTCTTAGTTACAGAGATTAAATTTGAAAAAAAAAAAAATATATATAATAGCCTGCAAAAAGAAGCATCCGTAATTTTGTCGACCGGGGTGGTGCACTCTTCTGGTTTTGGCAGAAACCGTGCTAATTTTGCTGATCGGGTCTCTCGGGAAGCACAATTCTCCGCGTGGTAAAGTCATGGAATTACTAAGTGTAAATTTATGAGCAAGGAAGAGTGGCGCCGTTCCAAGTGCATTGTCATCGTAATTGCCTGGTAGCATTGTTTGTCATTCAATTTTCACGGGAGACTTTTCATGGCTCGCAGACCCCTGACTCGTGATACCCGAACAATGTCCCGAGCCTGTTGTGCAACTTGCAGTCAGCTGCGAAAAAGAGCTCGTAAATATCTGTTGAATTGTGAAAAATGTTTTTGCTTTTTGCAACGACTGGAAAGGGTTAGCCGAGAGGGTGAGACATAGTTGCGGAGGGTAGCGAGGGGTTTGAGCACGTTGTAAAAAAGCATCCTGCCAACCCTCGCTCACCAAACCTTTCAGGCTTAGCCAGATAGCTACATCTCGTAAATCAGCGGAATTTGTTCATCTGGCTGTACAATTTTGTGACTCGATGCAGTGGATGCGCGGAAGCCACGACCGTGCGAAAAGCACTGCTTCGTCATTGGTGCAATATGAACAAAATTTTTTATGGATTCGCAAACAATTCGCTTGTTCCGCGTAACTTAATTAGCAATTGATAGTACCGATCAAATATTAATTTTGAGTATTCAGTGAAATTCAAAGTATTTCGAATGGGAATTCCCACGGGACTGACCCTCGTGATCCGGAAGAGGTAATTGGCCAATTTTTGATTGCTCGAAGAGGAAAAAAAAGGCAATAAAGGGTGTAAAAGTGATTGGGGGGAGGGGGGGGGTGTGATCGGAAAAAACATAAATATTTAATCAACAAGAAATAATAACTGACACTGTACGATTTCCTTCAATTATTCAAGGGACAGTAAACGTCAACGCGTTACAGGCTGATCCTCATAAATTTTATAGCACAGTGCTAACGATAAGGGTAATGGGCCGTCTCGAGAACGGATGCTGTAAGAATAAGAAGGAAGGATACGAAGAGGAATGTGATAGCTGACCAAAGGCGATTCCGTGGTTCGTGAATGCAATGAGTAAGGTTGGACGGTTGGGTCTTGGGTGTGATTTGTGGGATGTATTTGATATAAAATCGCGTGACCGGCTGGCCTCAGCCAAACAAAAGGTTTCCCCATTTGCAAATTGAATTAAATTCTCAAGAGACACGCCATCGGTCATCTTCGCCGATACGTATAAAAGGGACTGGTCCGTGATTCGGAGGCAAGTGAGTTGCGGAACGTATCCCCGGCCATCGCACCGCGTCTCACTTCAAACCGTTTCTTATTTCCTTTCGCGCCGAGGACAATAGAGATTAGATAATAGACACCCAAAGGAAGTAAACACTCGTGATCAGTCCTGTAAGACCGGTGCCGCGCACTTCGCGCTTTCAATCAGTTTGGTTTCGGAGTAGCCAGATCGCTTCTCGAGATTTCCCAAAAAAAAAAGGTCGATTCGATCAATTTCCCATAAAAGCTGCCAGAGGAGTCTGTGTCTTTTCGAGGGCCGAGTAAGAGAAGAGATCGAGAGCCGGGATGTTCTTCAACGAGAGCGTCATAGCCGGTCCGATGGCTTTTGTCGGCGTAGTCGGTGAAGTCGGGTAGGTTCTCTTCGATGATTGCTTTGATAATGACTCGGTATTGTCGTGTCTCCGCGTCCCTGGGGCTGAGAGTGAACGCGCCATTCCAACTGCAGGAGCCGTGGATTCTCCAGCGAATCCCCTCTCGAAAACCACCAGCACTGGCAACATCAACCGCAATACCTCCCTCAAGTCTCTCTTGGCTCGGCTGCCTCCGCACTCTGTACCAACTTCCATGTCCCCCCTCGGCCACCCTCCGTCGTTCCACATTGTGCGCCGAGCGTTCTGGGGATCCTGGATACGCTTTAATCCAGGATAGACGTAGAATACGCTGATCTTACCTCGTCCCTTAGAACTAACTTTCTGCCCCTCGGCGTCCTCTATCCGCCACGTTATACTTTCCAAGGTGGCCAGGTCGAACCGTCCCTCTGCCTTCCCCTTCATCGCGATTATTAACAATGCCCGCGTACACGAGTTCGTTCCATCGACTTTTGCGCGATTAAGGTCTCGCACGCAATGGGCCGAGAATTTATAAGCGGATCTATCTGGTACCTGAGCCCTTCGCCCTGGCACCCCTTTTGACCCGCCCACTCGATTCAAGAGAAGATCCGTTCTTAGCGATAACGCGATACATCCCTCCTAATAACAAAAGACATGGATACTGTGGGAATCCCTTAGAAACCTCCCTTTCACCAGTCTTCAAGGCAAAGACAGTAAAATCAAACTATACTTTATTTCAATTGTCGTCCCTACTTTGTCATTGTTACTTGCTCGCTGCGGGGATACGAGCAGCCAAGTTCAACATATGCAGGAGCGTCTCCTTGGATGGAACGTCCCGCCCGAACACTCCGATCTGGTCCATCCCCATTGGCGGGGATTCCTCGCTCCGGGAAAGTATTGGCACATCGGTTTAGCCCTCATCTACTTTATGCTGATGGTCTTGTCCAGCGTAGGGAACGGGTGCGTCATCTGGATATTCACCACGTGAGTCTTAAAGAGTGATTGCGCAATACCAACCTCCGCGCCATCTCTGAACTGATCCCCGTACTCTTTACCGCAACCCTCGTCCTTCGTATAACGTAAATCCAACCTTATGTAACTCTACGTAATGCCGTGCTTATTAATCTGCAAGGTCAAAGTCACTAAGGACACCCTCCAATATGTTCGTAATAAACCTGGCAATTTTCGACCTGGTCATGATGGCGGAGATGCCGCTGTTCATTATAAGCAGCTTCCTGGAACGTATGATCGGCTGGGAAATGGGATGTGACATTTACGCTGCGCTGGGAAGCGTCTCCGGAATTGGCTCGGCCATCAATAACGCCGCCATTGCTTACGATCGCTACAGGTGCGATTACGATTGAGAAAATTATTACTGTTGATGGAATACGTTATTTCATTTATTGGATAAGGTATATGGTCAAATGATCCTATTTGTCCTTCAGGACTATCTCCTGTCCGATCGATGGCAGGCTAAATGGAAAGCAGGCTGCTGTCATCGTGGCTTTCACTTGGTTCTGGTCCATGCCATTCACTATCCTCCCCATCACCCGAATCTGGGGACGATACGTCACAGGTCATCAATTTGTTATGCCAGGCTCATCGGCATTTTATCGGCGGTAGAATATTTTTGAAAATGAGTTAACTCTTTTCAGAGGGTTTCCTCACGACCTGCAGCTTCGACTTCTTAACCGAGGATCAAGACACGAAGGTCTTCGTGGGCGCCATCTTCACGTGGGCCTATGCCATTCCCATGTGCCTCATCATCTACTTTTACTCCCAGCTCCTGAAGTCGGTCCGCAGGCACGAGAAGATGCTGCGCGATCAGGCCAAGAAGATGAACGTCAAGTCTTTGGTTTCGAATCAGGACAAGGAGAGAAGCGTGGAAATGAAAATTGCCAAAGTCGCCTTCACGATTTTCTTCCTGTTCGTCTGCTCCTGGACTCCCTACGCGGTGGTGGCGATGACTGGTGCCTTTGGAAATCGGTTAGTATCGATTTTGAGAAATTTGATTTTCACTGTTTTCTTTTACAAATCCTATACGTTCCTGTATGCAGGGAATCCTTGACGCCGTTCTCCACGATGATCCCAGCACTCTTCGCCAAGACGGTGTCCTGCATCGATCCCTGGATCTATGCTATAAATCATCCGAGATATCGCCAGGAACTGCAGAAGCGTTGCCAGTGGATGGGAATCCACGAGCCGGCACCAGCGGTTGACACGACATCCGCGATCACCGAGAATCTCAAGACAGACGAAGCCTGAACTGAAATTCTGTCGTCGCTGATCATCAGATTGGAAGTTTTCATTGATGCGTCAACTTTTGGGGATGATTGCTCTCGCACTGCAACCACCACTCGGTACGGGATTAATCGTTCCTGCTAATTCTAAAAACGGATATAATCTCCTCCTCGGCAAATCTAATAAGGACTAACCGGAAATTGATTTACGGAATATGGATTTTTGATCGCATGACATTAATCCACGCTGCAAACGACTGGTCCCCTTGTATAAATTTAATTAAAGGCAAATTTTAAAGCAATTTTTAGATTAATTATTTCATACCCTGTGCTGCCTATGTCCCTTACCTAGTGCTCAGATTATCGACCAACAATTTTTCGAGTAAAAACTCTGTCGGTAACTTCTCCAAGTAGGAACGTCAGTCAGTCAGCGACTGTAGATTCTGTACCACAATGGTTGGTTCCTGTCCGTGCTAAAAAACAGAACGAAGCACAGGGAAGTCTTGACAAGTGCTGCCAAACGTCAAGAAAGGTCAAACCCCTGCAACGATAGCTACTGCAGGTAATTCCGAAGCTGCAGACGCTTCTTGTAGAATCTTCAGGAGGTTTCGGGTGGGTGCACGACACTCGGAAGTTCTTGGTATAAATCGTAAAATGTGTTTTAAAGAGTCCTCGAAGTGTCAAGAGAATTTCTGAAAAGTTTGAACGGAACTGAGTATCGGAGCGATTGATCGGGAGAACTACGAGTGCTTTATCATTCGCAACTTTCAATTAACATCGATCTCCAGCCTTCATTCCTAAAGACACCCTCCTCCTTCCCCGCCGCTGTCCTTCTTCTCTCGTCACGCAGAGTTCAATCCGCCCCGTATCTTTCATCGAATGTCAAATGGCCGACCAGGTCGACTTTCGCTGCATTTGATATATTGAAACTTTTTTTCTACCAAAGCACACCTGCGAATCACCATGCCGGAGGAAATAAGAAAAACCATCTTGATTATTTCAACCTGCAAAATCTCTACGAGGGAAATTTTTCCCATTCCCGACCGTTCAGAATTTCTTGGCTTAAAAATTACATTGAACGACATAAAAACTTCAAGAAAAACGAGCCACCCGTTGGATAATACATATTATTGAATTATTGAAATACAAGTGGGATCGATCAAGCAGACTTAAGTAATGAGAGTTTCCCAATGACTTCTCTCCGACAATCGAAGGGCAGCGTCTCGCGCTTCATCGAGTCGGCACGAGACTACGATTAATAAATGAACGAATCGCTTAGAAGCGTCCCGAGTTCTTTTTACGAGCCGAAGACAAAGAATAAGAACGAGAAACGTGGGAACAGAGAGGAAATTAGAAACGTCGCGAACAAATAATGTAAAAGCCTCTCGAAGGTCGTCAAATTAATCTTATCGTTAGCAACTCCAAGCGAATCTTTGGAGATACCCTTTTATTTTTAAAGAAAAAAAAAAAAAGAAAAAAAAGATACATTTCAACAGTAATATAACAAAACAGCCTTCGAAGATTCGCATCCGTAGTACACAGCCGATTCCTTTTTATAAATTCCCACGTCAGTGCGCAGCTGCCGAAATACGAAATTTACGTGGAAAACAAAAATGCGCAGTCATCCGAAGAAGTTGGAGGCCTGCAATTAATTCCTGCGAAAAGTCAAAGGCTGAAGGAGTCTCATCGACTGACGAGCAATAAAATATTTCACGGTCCAAGTATCGAGCTACGATGTATTGTCGTAGGCGGGTAATTAGCCGATTCGAGCGCGATTCCACGTAATTGACTAATCGTTATCGGAATAACTGAGTAATCGCCGACTAATTACCCTACGTCTATCGTCACGGTCACTTGCCAGGGGAATTCCATCAATTCCACGAGTCGAGACAATTTCATGCAGTCGCATTATGTATCGACGGCGACGTCACGGAGTCGCACGTACAGTACGTATATATAGTACGTACATAGGGCGAGTAGATATTTGTCGGAATCGTATTCGGAATGCGTAGGAATCCTGCTGCCAAGTGCTGTCATTACATCCGTTGACGTTCCAACAAACAAGTCGGCATATCAGTCGGAGAACAGGAACGCAACTGGATGAGTAGCCGAGAGAATACAATTGGCTTCCTACAGCGAAGATGCTGGAGATTCCTGAGACGGTGGCGTAGACGCCAATGCTTTCTGCTTCCCCAAAAGGTTCGTACCACCGACTGCCTTCATTCCCCTGGGCTCCCACTCTTCTCCCTGGGGTCCTCCCTTCTTCTCTTTCGAAATATTTAATTTAATTTCCCCGCCTGTATTTTTCTTACAAATTGTCCCTGCGAAACGAAGTCGCCAAAGAAAAACAATGAATAACAGAAGCACGGGAAGTTTTCCGCGCGTGCGCGCGCGTCTCTTGCGCAACCGGCTGTTCCAGGAACGAGAAGAAACGGCCGATCTCAAGTTTTCCAGCGCGAGAACATCGCTCGATGAATATAGAAGAAAAAAAGAGAACTAAAAGATAAGGAAAAAGAGAAAGAGAGATAGAAGCGGCGGAGTAAGAAAAATTGTGGCCAGAACAGGTATACAGGTAGAACGAAGGCATGAAAAAAATGTGGGAAATATACGAAGAAGGAAATAATCGGGGGGTGGCAAGGGGAGAAGGGAAGGGCGGTAAAGGGCCAAAGGGGAGGAAGGAGACTTGAACAGTCGAAAGTTGAGAGTCGAGAGTTAAGAGGCAGCTGCCTTATACTTGTACGGGCAGAGTTCGCCGGCGTGACGTCTCCTCCCGATTTTTCCCGCTTCGCAAATTCTTTCACGCCCCCATGGAAGTCGTCGGGACTTTGCGAATTGTCGCGTTCCAGAAACAGCTGTCTGCACGGTGCGAAGCACGTCATCAGCCCGAGAATATTTCTTGGGCTTGGAAACGAAGCTGCCGGTTTTATATTTTCACCGAGGAGCGAAAGATTCGAAATGCCAAAGGCAGGTTTACCTTTGAAATGTAATTGTTTCCATCATGCGAGCGTCCTAATCTATCAAGGAAGACAACGCGATTACACGTTGGAAATTGCCGGGAAAGTCTTGTCGTCGTCATCCCCGAGAGTTACGTCGGGCTCGGTTGGGGTTCCGATGCCGGGGGTTGAGGTCATGAACTCGGGTCAATAGATAGGCCGGCAGTGTGCTTAATATGCAGTTAGTACGTCATTTGTTTCTCGCCGCTCGGAGGGCTTATCATAATCTCTGACGTCACGGCTCCGCGAAATCCCCGTCCGTCGCGAATGCACAGCCCTGTAGCTGCGCTGTATCGCCATCCCACGCGCCGTGTGCATTGTCCATCCAATTTCTGGTACCTGTTATTGTCTAATTTGCAACTATCGCATTGTTACCGAATCGAACTAGAAAGTGTAATTGGAAAAAAAAAATAATAATTCTTCGAATCCAAAGCATAAAATCATCCAATTTTTCGATTATATTTTGACAAACTGATAATTTCCCTAAAGCTGATAGAAAGTTGACGAAAGACGTCTTGGTTCCTTCAACCTAGAAAATTCCCGCGAGAGATCCTCAGATTATCTGATTGTCAATGACGTTTCCAAGGGACGTTCCAATAATCGGTACGCCATTTCCGGCTTCCGCTGATATTCCGCCGATTTCGTACCGGTCTGTATTCGATTTACTAACAAAAGTTCCACGGCGCTGAATCTACCCGCGAAAAATCTTGATTAGATATCCGCGTCAAAGAGTTTCCATCAATGGCCGCCTGTGCCCATTTGTGTGTGCGGAAGGATAAGGGTGAAAAGGAAGGAGAAGACGAGAGAAGTCGGCGAATCGAAGCTGCTCTCTTCGCAGCAGTAGGAATTTCGATTTCGCAGTCCCGCGAGGCTTGTACCATTTTCTTTTGTGGAAAAAACCACAAATTCTTATAGGAATTTCAAAATTTCACCGAAACAAAATGTTCACTAAACAAGAATTATGATGCGCAGTGAGAATGGGCTCGTAACGAACGGTCCAGCGGATAGATTGAAAAAGGGGAGGGATGAATGGTTCCTAGGATGACATTGGCAGAGGGGCAGAGGGGCAGAGTTACTGGCCAAGATACATCCTTCCATTTCCTGACCTCGCGCAACCAGTTATAGATGTTCAGAATTCAATTACGCTGAATTTATGGTGTCGAGCGGGCATATTTATCGTGAGTTCGAAGGGTAGGCGAAGGGGATGCCGGATACGCTGGATGGTCCCGCGGTTGGGTGGGTCAGGTTGGTATAGTTCGTGATAGAAATTCAATAGGATAGACGTCGGCCTGGATAACCGCGCGGTCGATGAGTTATTAAAAATATTTTTTAATTAAAAGAGATCGTCCCGCCGAGATCGTTTTCTGCTTCGTTAGGGGTTTAGAATCCATAAACGGCGCGAGACGCTTTCCCACTTCCTGCGGAAGCAGCCGCGAGGGGTAGCCGATCGCACAACGGTGGGAGTTCAGTCTTACTCCTCTGGGGTTGCTACGGCCCATACGTGCCCTTTAAGTAATAATTGTAATCCGCAGAAAGAGGCAAATTTCTCTACCAGCTTCGCACCAGTTCCGAAACCTCCCTGTGTCTAGTACAGCCAGCCCCTACCCGCGTCATACAGATTAACCCTGCAGGTACCTACTAAAAGTAAGGTTTAGTCAGCACAGCCATTCCAGTTCGCGTACAGAACTTTCAAAGTGCTTGTAAAATTGTACACCTGAGCTTTTCACGCTTTGGAGGAGTCAGCCAGGCCGTGACTAGAGGTTTAACACCCATCCTCATCTATGGGGATGTAATTTTCTTTTTTATTTTGCTGTCGAGCATTTTGCAAAGTAGAAAGATTGATTTAGAAAGCTCTCGAGTCTTAAGGGTGGTTACTGGTCGAAGGGGTTAACCCTCGGAAACGTGTACGAAGCCGACGGATCATTCGAGAGCTTTCCATTTGTCAGAGGGGACGTTTACTACTCGTTTACGTGCCGGGGTAAGAGAGGATGACGCCCCCCGGTGCCAGCGCAGAGGCGCCTCACGGCGTCGCGACGCGCGTAAATAGTGCGCCGAACTTCGGGGGCAGATCATTAGAAAATTTTTATTCTCGCAAGAACGTAAATTAACGGCAGTAATAAATATCGTTCTTATCAGGTCGTGTTTCGCCGCCTTGTTAACGCGTATTGATTTTCCCGACGCGGCGCACAATGGGCACGGATGGGGGGGGGGGAGGGCTGCTTTTGATAAATTGCGTTATTTCGCCGTGATTAAAAAAGGCCGCTCGCTGCCAATCTGACGGAATAATTCAAGTGGACCTACATTCTTCATCCAGGCCGAGAATTACCGAGCCGACGCCGAACCCGACGCTGACGTCGAGATTATTAATCTTGGAGAGCGTTTCGCCACAGTCCAAGCACACGTCTCCGCCCTTGCGTCAAATGCGCCCACCGCTCCCAATGCGAACATACAAGACACCCTCGTGCGATTTGGGCTTCTAAAATTCTCGTTTCTCTTTAACCTCTACTTTTCGAATACACTTGCTTATGGCGAACCGCCTTCAGACACTTTTTAACGATTATAAGATTATAACACGGGCGTCTACCGGGGGAGGAAATTGATGATGGATAAGCATAACTTTTCATAGGAAAACTTCATTGACGCGGGCTACGTGATTGGAAGCAAAAATCGGTCCGACGCGACTGGCAAAAGTCCCGTTTGTTATTGCGGGCAAAGGGTAGCCTTTCTCGCGCGAAAGTACAGAAGGTCAAAGATAAAAGAAATAAGAGTACAAATGTACAGAAACATGGAAAGTCGTGAAAAAGTGAAAATATATTTCTTTGAAATTTCTGATCGCGTCGGGGTGGTCAAGTCGAGATTTCTCTGGGACTTCGAGGGAGGCTGCCCAGACGGCGAAAGACGTCGCGAGACGATACCGTACCCTTGTACTTTTTTATCGAAAGAACCTCGTTGACGTACGATCTCTGGGAATCGTAAAAGGCTTCGAGAGAAGAAGTCAAGAAGAGGGGGCAAGAAGATTTCCCCTCCTGAAAGAAGTCTTGAGAAATATCTGAAAGAAGGAAAGTTGAAGTGAAACCAAGGAAAAGGACGAAAGAAAGAGTAAAAAACCACGTGTTCGAGTGATAAAAAACTTTGGAAATTTTGCGTGAGACGTATAAAAAAAAAATCTTATGGCGCATAAGAATATATATATATATATATATATGTTTACACATGTTTTTAAAATATGAAAAAAAAAACACGAGTCAGGTATCCATTTCGTCCTAATTTTACTTTCCACGCGCGATGGATGCATCCCGCAAAATTTATTCTTTCATACTTTGATCCTGTGCAGTTTTACTGGCAATAGTAAAGTTCACCCGGTATAGGATTGTTTAACGTCAATTCGGCTACCGGATATTTATTTGACTTGAGCACTTTTCGGAAGGTCTTGTTTTCCCTTAATGAAAATTGAGGGTAAACATGGTAAAAGTTCGATTCGGTCATGTCGGAAATGAGGAAACGGAATGACTGTAGAATTTTCAAAAAAAAAAACAAAAAAAAATAAATTAAAAAGAGTAAAAGGGTCCTACTGGGCGTCGGCCATTTTAGGTGTGCTTACCGAGAAATCTATTCAAAAGTTAAATTCGCTGGAACGACGCTGGCAGTTTAAAAGTCACGTGGGCCAGCGCGACTAGGAGTTGTTGTTGAAGGGTGGGAGGATGTGCATTGGGGCAAAACGAGGGACCAGGTCTATACTTCTTCCGTCGCGTGTACAAATGTCCCCAAGACTGAAATACTTAGTGAGCTTAACTGCGTTGCCATAGAGACTGACGCGAGTTGGCGCTGGGCGTCGCGACGCCTTCCTTAGCCCTCTACTAAGGGCAGCAGTCTTCTCATTCGTTCTGTTACTAACGCGACACGTCGCGCACTCAACTACCCGAAAGTAAGTGTGATCGAGACTCTCGTAGATGGCATGCTTCGAATGAAATTGAAAAATTAATATATTTTGAAATATTTTTTAAAAAATTGTTAAAGACAAGTAACGAAATTTGCTATTTCACTGAAACGAAGGAGACCGAATTGAGCTTGCGGATGATTAGCAGCGTCTAACAATTTGCACGATGTATCTACTTCATTTTGAAATCGGACCAATGTTTCTAGGTCGAGGAGTTTTTGAAAAAAAAAAAAAAAAAGTATCTGCCGTAGACGTAGTTCGCAAAATATAATCCAGACGAATGTGAAGCTTGCGAGAAACGGCTTAACGCTTTTTGGTTTTTAGTTTTCGGTCAATTCTTGTACTGTCCTGGTTAAGAGTTGCGCCATAGCAGGAGTGGGCTCGCATGTTCTGAATTATATAGATATACTTACAACGTTTACTACATTTCCTGCGTTTGTCACGCCTACAGTTGCCAGCGTCTATTTCTCCCCCGTGGTTTTCTGGTCGATTTAGACTTGGGGCACTGGGAACTGACGGGAATAAGAAACTCTAGAAGCCCAAGAAGAAAGTTGAGAGAACGTAAAGTTGAGAATGAGGAAAGCTTAGGAAATGACCAATGTATAATCAGTCTGAATCCGTGGGGAAGTACGGCTAATCGATTCGAAGAAGGCTTGAATTTCCGAGGACAAGGGGGCACCCTGTAGCCCTAAAAATGTTTAACGTGCGATTTTAAAATGTTTAAGAGTGCAGGTAACACACGAGAAGAGGGTGGCAGGGGAAAGCCGTGGAAGCCAGAGTCACAGGGGTGCAGCAACAGGACTAAGAGCGAAGGGGGATGCTGAGAGAGTAAGAAAGCTGGCCACCTGATTGGTGCACTGGATTAATACATATTACATGGCCCTTCTCGAGACAAAAGTCGACAGGGTGGTTAAACAAAAGATGAAGTTTTGAACCCTCGAGTCAGACTGAAGCCCTCTTCACAGGCTGCAACCTTTTACCGCAGCATCCGGCAGTGGCTGGCGACTGCCTTTTTTTTTCAAGCACACTTCAATGCATTTTCACGTTTTTAACGCGGTTACCCTTTGCTTCCCTTTCGCCTGCGCGCCAGCCGCGTCTGAAGGTCAGTCGAACGACCCGGCAATTCGCGAATCTGTATTTTGGTATTACGAAAAGCCAATGAAATCGCAAACGAAAACAGCAACTAGACGAAAAAGATGTAAAAAAAAAAGTATAAAAATTTCAGAGGCCAGGGCGAGTCTACAAGAGTCGTAAAAATAGGACGTGGTAGTCGAGAGAGAATACGAGAGAAAAGTCTGGGCAGGGTGGAAACGTCGTAAAATCGATAGGATTATTTGTAACGTGACTTTAAACGACGGCAGGCCGGCTGTGATATTCGAAAAAATAAATGCGAACGTCGCGGCAACGATTAAGGGAAATAACGGCAGGCGGTCAAAACTTTTGTTTCCCGGCGGGCGAATCGAGAAAAGCCTCGAGGCCGAATTTTTCAACCATTAAAGAAGCAAAGGACGCAGCGCAAAATCTTTAGTTTTACACGGTGCAAGAGTTTGGCGTCTCTTCTCTGTCGTCGACCAATGACGACGCAGAGAGGCCAGTGACGTCACTGTTGAAATTGCAGCCTCTATCACATACAGGGATGATGGCCCCGATGTACCATCCTAGCATACCAGGAGGGTCGAGCAGTGGCGCGCGTGCACCCATGTTATGTACGTATTTATAGATAGTGGCGTGTGTCCATAGTAAATGGCGGTGGAACTATAAGGGGGGCTGCAGGGGGGTTGGCAAGAGGGGATCAGGGAGGCTAGAGCTTGCACGCGATTTCGACTGGCTGGTAATCCGGTTGCGCCGGAAAAGCTACCTTTTTAATAGCCGCGCGTCGGATCGTTTTAATTCGGCAAAGCTCCCAGAGCCAAATTGTTCCACAAATCGGGTTTTCGTTTCGATGTTTTTTCACCGTACAGGGCAGGATCGATATTGCCTGCAACAACGACGAATTTTCTCGAGGGTTCGACTTCTCCGGTTCAGGCTCGTTCTGACCTATCGGATCCGACCAGATGGAGGTAGCACAGCAAAGAGAGAACCAGGCAGGAGATGACGCCGCTCTAAGGCAGACCTCCCCGAGTCCCCAAGATCCCGACGCCCTACGACCTCCATCGAAAATACGTCACCCGCAGTCGTTTTAACCTAAATATTGGAAAACGTAGACGTTTCGTCGCGATTCCCGATTGCGCAACTACCCACTCTATCTGATAGTAACGGGAACCACCCCTTGCTCTCCGGAAGTAATCCTTTGCCACGTGGACCACACCGTCCGTACCATCTGAATTTCCCAGGCCGTCGATCTACGTGCACAATTTTAAACCTCGATGGACTAATTAATTTAATTATGACGCAATACCTTAGGAGTCTCGTTCGCGGTTGGTTCACGTGAAATACATGAAATTCAGTGGAACGTCTATTGTCCCTTGTTTCGTGTCAACTGGCGTATACGCGGGAATGTGTCCCAATTACTCGGAGTAGGTCGACAAAGTGAATCATTTTAATTAACTCCGATCTAATTGGCGCGACGCGAAATCGCACCGTTAAGATAGACGATTCAGAAAACCCCCTGGACTCGCCAGTCGCCTCCCTCCTCCCTTCGCCTCTCGCCTCTCGACTCGCTCTGTATCACTCACACCGAAAGATACACGCGGCCGCCCCTATAGCTATCCGAGGGGTGTGCAGAAGGGGGAACACGTAGCAGGCGCAAGCGCGCGCATCAACGCTCAAGGGTTGCTTTGGATTCAGTTAAAGCCCCGTCGGCGAAGGGGTAGGTCGCGTTTCTAACCTTCAGCGACAACGTGTTTCGTGATTGACCCTCCAACGGAAGCTGCGTACTGCTTGCAGACGTACCTTACATACGTGTTATTGAATTCTTGATAAATTTTATCAAAAGTGGGCTAACGAGGTGTATGCGAGTAAATAATTTATTTATTCGATTTTCGGCCAAACATTAAATACGTATAGCGTTATACATATAATATATATATATATATATATATATATATCCTCACGGTAGACACAATATATCAAAAGAAGGTACATATCAATTTCTGAAAGCTCGGGTGGGTCACGAACTTCCCCCCCTGCTCATTAGTGTCCTCCGGTGACAAGAATTAAAGTGTCGATAACGAGATCCGAGGGGGCAACCTCCTTCCAGAAGGAGGAGCAACGAGCAAGTTCTGAGTCCTGAGGGCAAGGAAGAGAAAAAAAAGGAGACGTAGGAAGAAGGGTGGAAGAACGAAGAGGGAGAGCGTGGGAGAAAAAATAAAAGGAGTTACGTAATAAAGAAAATAACAAAAAAAAATATACGGATCCTCCGTAATATCGGTATCGTGGGAATTGGTTATTCTGTGTATTCTCGACTTACGTCCCGGGTATCCGTATATCTGACGGTTCTCGATATCCTCGGTAAACGTAGTGAAAGCCGTGCCGTGGTGGTGGTGTCTCGAGAAAGGAAATTCCTCGGGGAAAAGTCCAAGAGAAGGGAAAAGGAGATAGCGAGGAATCATAGGAGAAATAAAACATGTGGTGATTTCATCGGATCTTGTACGGATCTTACGCCGTCGCCGAGAGATCGGTAAGTCGCGCATCTCAATTTGCCTCTACAATATTTATTTCGTTAGTTCTATAGGAATGCATTGTATTGTAATCTCCATTGCGTTCGAGGGTATTTTATTTTTCATGTATTTTACGCTCAAGCGATTTTCAAGGACGCAGCATTATTCCTTGAAAATTCTTATGAAAATGAGACTGAGTGACTGACCTCTATGTGTGTTAGTGGATTTATGGGTTAGTACTTTCGTGAAGGAATTCTTGGTGAGTGACGAAGGCAAAGAACGTTTGTCGGGCTGTTAAACGGCGACGACTATGAGAACCGCGTATTAAATTAATTATGAGTGGACCGCGCGCACGAGTGGCGACATTTAAATCGGCCGTCTCTCTAATTAAACTAAAAATCCTATACGCTCTCGTGGCCTTATTTCTCTCTCTCGGCGGGACTTAATTGTCGCACTTAAGTTCGTTAATTTTTCATGGAATGGCCTCTCTCCTGGGATTTTACTCTTTACTCGTTATCTCCTCCATTCTCTTCCTAGCGGGTCGCTTCGCTTCGCAGAAAGGTCTAAGCTCGCGCGAGTACACCGGCTGACCTACGAGATCCCAGCTTTGGAGCCTAAAGTCCAATTAGTTAACTATATCCCCGGCGTGTAACGCGAATACACTCGGAAGCCACATTCGAATCCCTCGAGTTGACTCAAGAGAATCCACGAAGAAATTTTTCGTGAATTAGATCGACCATTTTTACAGAAAATAATAAACTTGTCAACGGCAATTGTCAGACGAGGAGTAGGTTGAGCCACGTGACGCATCGTATCTTATTTCAAAACAAGACAGCTCAAAGATGAAAGGCCAAAGAAGAGAATGCAGAGCGACAGACGACAGGAAAGGAATTGGGAAAAGAAGAGGAAGTTGAAAGAGAATAAAAAGTGGAGCCGAAGGAAAACAAGAGTGTCAAACAATTTCAAGGAGGGAGGAACGCAATTTTAAAAAGATCCTCCCCCTTCGTCCCCCTTCATCCCCCAATCCTTCAAGACAACCTTCGCCTCGGCTCGTTTACCTTTCATAAAGCGGCGTCTGCAGCCGCGTTTCTAGCTCGTCTCCCAGTCTAAGCTGATCGCCCAGGTGCCCAAAAGTCCTGGGCGAGACTTCAAGACGGCTTCAAATAAAATTGTCCGGTTAATACGAGACGGATTTATCGAATTGGATGACGTGGACTCGATAAATTGTCCTCCCCCAACTATCTCCCACGGGAAGCTTTCTCCACGGGACGTTTAAAGGGACTTTTCCCACGTCCACCAAGAAGCCCCAGGCGCTCCAAGAATTCTCGGAGAAACGTACCTCGTCCAGGCTTCTCGCGATCGCCAGCCAGAAGGCCCAGCTATCCCTCTGCCTCCAGCAGACAGCAAACCCGAAGGTAGAGCGATAACAATCGAATCTCCAGAGAGAGACTAGACAGTCGAAAATTAAGCGGCTGGTTACGGCATAGCGAACCAATAGTTATTGGTTGCGCAGGCAAAGGTTAGCAAACTCGAAACTCGCTTTACGAGAAGCTTAATAAAGGCATGTTTCGCGAGATTCTCGCTAGTCGGCGCTGCTCACTCGCAACTCAACCCCCTTGGCCACCCTCACAAGTTAATCGCTGATAACGGCTAAAACTAACTTTTTAAGCTCGCAATATCGTGCTCACCTATAACGTACTGCGAGGGCTCCTCTCTTACGCCTTCGGCTAGACCGACCTGCTGCTCCACCATCACTACCCACATCTACCCTTACGGTACAAGCTACCCCTCTGACACATTCACCCTTACACGTCGCACGGGTTGCCAGGCCCTCCGTTTGGCTACTTCGCACGTCTCACCGGGCGCCGAATTCGCTCGACTGTTTTCGAAAGGGCGAAACTTCAGCCTGAATCGCTCGCTGCTCTAAATTTTCAGCATCGGCGACACCAGTAGCCGTGCATCGCTCAGCACAGGCCTGTGACAGAGCGCACTTGTTACGTATCGACGTACCTCGAAACAGCTGCTAGGACTCTACTTTTTTAATGGTCCACTAAGGCGACTTCGAACTTTTCTCCTTTCTTACTTTACGGGCCGCCGAGACTCCTCTAGCAGGATCTCTGTCTTTAACTTTTAGTGCTTCTACTTGCAATCTTTTTTTTTTCTCACTTTCCGGAATTACTGATACGCGTGTAATTTCCATTGGTCGAACGACCTCCACGTGGTATCCTGACGTAACTTGACAAATTGGAATTTTTGCATTACTCGGTGTATACAACATTTCCCATATCGGACATTATCCTAATTCACTTAAAAATGCATGAGCCTTTTTAGGACGAAAGAGGAAAGAGTATCGATTGCCTGATTACTCGTGAACGTAGAGGTACTAGTCGTCAGAAATACTTTATTCAACTTCCTCAAGTTCATGTCATATAGTCCACGGCGAAGGTCAAATCAGCCAAGTTCGAGGATATCAAACTCGGTCGATCAAGGCCACGGGATATTATTACGAAATACTGGCAAACTTTTATTCCCTAAACTGTTTCTCTCCGTCACGACCAAATAAACGTATGTCACTCGCAGTGTAAGTATAGCAAAGCTCGGTTCTCTCCCCGCTGTTCAATCTTTTCTCTGATTACTTTTTGAGCTGCATATTTGAAATTCGTCACGGCTCCCGCTGGGCCGGAAAGGCGGGTTCGAATGAACGCGAACGGCCAGAGACGTAGCGACCTCAAGGCGCGGTCATCCTTCGTCGACATTTTCAAACGGTATTGCTTTCCTCGGGACGGTTGGTGAATATTATGTAGGTCAAAGAAGGGAAAGAGCAATGGAAAAGGGATACAAATGGTTTGGCAGGAAGAAAGTCTTTTCATGCAACTCGTTTACCGATTGAAATTGCCCGTTTAATTAATGTCGGGCAGGCTAATTAATCATTCGCCAGTTGAAGCAAGGATCGATCAAGGAAATCACGTAATTTTTAATAGTCCCTTCGGGACCCCAGTACCCCTCTTGTCTGCTTAAAGTTTTACGTCTCAAAGTCGGCATCCATTTTCCCGTGAATATATTCATGCACTCTAACGTGGAACTAGTCAGGTCGATAATTACTCCATGAAGGACCAAAATAATCCTCCCACTACCCGATCTGTATACTTTGAAAAAATATACCTGAAATGCACCTCTGTGAAGTTGGCCCCTCATTATGAAAATTAATTTTAAAAAGTTAGAGTTCTCCATGCCCCCGGAAGAGTTCTAGAGTTCCTGATAGTTTTTAGAAATAGTTCTGTCGATTAAATGCAAAAAATTGCGATATTTGGAATTGGGGGGCCAACTTCACGGCGCCCCCCATTTTTGAAAAAATGTAATTTTTTTGATAGTTCTGAATAGATTAACAATAGTTCTACAGTTCTCTGCACTTTTCATCAATAGTTCCGGTCATTATCCGCTTCAAAATAAAGTTTGAAAAAATAAGTCAGCCCCCCATCTTTTAAAAAAATCGTATTTTTTTTAGTGTTCCGAATAGTTCTCAAAGAGTTCTACAGTTCCCTATAGGTTTTGGGTACAATACATATCCAAATTTCGTCAAAAAATCATGTTCAAAAAAGTATTTCAAAAAATCAATTAATCGTATAAAATCCGAGACCCCCAGAATACTCGATGGATTAATCAAGCCCAGGTATTCGTTTTGTAGAACTCTTTGAGAACTATCCGGAAATCTTCATTTTTTTCTTTCCAAATTAACCCCACACGATGGAGAATCTTCAAAGTGCCAGAACTCTTTCAATTTTAATTTCTCAGCTTTTTACCATTAGAATTATCGATAGAACTCTTTGAGAATGATTTTTCGACTGTGGGATTGTCAGATTTTGTACCCGCTCTCAGCGCTATCCAGAACCAACGACGTGGACGTGGCGGTGTTTTGGTTCCTTTTGTTATTTTTTATTTGTTTTAATATTTCCTTTTTTAAATTGAACGTTGTTCATATGTTTTTTAATTTAATTAGATCAGATTAGATTGTAATTTATATTGTAAGATTAAATTGTAAGGTTAAGATTGGAATTAAGTTAATATAGAAACGAAGTTGTCGTGAAACTTTTATTAAGCCAAGACATATATTATGACGTGCGGAAATATATTTTCGTCGGTTTGGGCTAGCGATCGTTGTTTCCGCATGTCATCGTACGTATACCAGATAGAACCTACCTTGATCGCTGCTACATAATGCCCATTATATTTATTTGCAGCGTATTGCTGGTACAAAATAAGTCCAGCTACTGTGTAAATTCGTCCACCTATTAAAATGGTTTTTGCAACATTGTGTAGATTGCATAACAGTTGAAGAGTTCCGGGAGTTCTAATGGGAATTCCGGATAGTTCTCAAAGAGTTCGACAAAACGAATACCTGGACTTGATTAATCCATCGAGTATTCTGGGGGTATCGGATTTTATACGATTAATTGATTTTTTGAAATACTTTTTTGAACATGATTTTTTGACGAAATTTGGATATGTATTGTACCCAAAACCTATAGGGAACTGTAGAACTCTTTGAGAACTATTCGGAACACTAAAAAAAATACGATTTTTTAAAAGATGGGGGGCTGACATATTTTTTCAAACTTTATTTTGAAGCGGATAATGACCGGAACTATTGATAAAAAGTGCAGAGAACTGTAGAACTATTGTTAATCTATTCAGAACTGTGACAAAAATTACATTTTTCAAAAATGGGGGGCGCCGTGAAGTTGGCCCCCCATTTCCAAATATCGCAATTTTTTGCATTTAATCGACAGAACTATTTCTAAAAACTATCAGGAACTCTAGAATTCTTCCGGGGGCAAGCAGAACTCTAACTTTTTTAAATTAATTTTCATAATGAGGGGCCATCTTCACAGAGGTCTGAAATGCCGACCTGATCTCCATCCGATCTTCTCCGTTATACCTTCGCTCACTTTAACTAGTCCCCAGATACTAGCTCACGGCTTTAGTTACTTGCTTCAGCTTTGCATACTTTAAGGTCCTTAGTAACCATCCCCTGCCAGACGCCATTATTCGAAACTTTCATGGCCACGTACAGAGGACTGGCTAATGCAAGCACAGAATTAGATTCTCACGTACTTGGCCAATTTTCACGTATCGGGCAAGGGTGGACGTCGTGACGTCACATTGCGTCGCGTCGTGGACACTTTTCACGAGAGCCACACGCTCCGCCAATTTTCGGACACGCTCGATGCGGATTCACATCGTGCATCCCTAAAGGACTCTGAGGTTTCTGTACTAGCTTGATTCACCCGAGTAGAAGAACGAAGAACAATTGATCGAGAACGCAGCAGAATGGATCGAAGCTATAAAATCGAAATCCCTCACCAATTATTAAATCGGTGACTACTCACCGAAGCTGGTTAAGCTGATCCGTGAAGGCCAAGATCTGCATTCAGGGAACACGCGTTTGGGCACTGCACTAAAGCACAACACTGCATCTACGAAAAACACGGGAAAGATCGTTAGGATTTTCTGGATATAGCGAGAGCAACGCGAAAACTATGCAGGCGAGAACTTTTTGTACCGTATAGGAAACGCAGCTAGAAAAAGTATAAACAAACAACCCGCTAGCGCGAGGCAGTTCCTGGCACCCCGATCGGTGTCCCGAGACAGACTGCTTTGGCAATAGTCACATTCGTGAACCGATCGTTCTGATTGGTTTCGAGCGCCTCGATCTCAACTCAACAACAAATCTTTCCTAGAGCATTGGCGGAACTGCACGAATTAACCCGAGCGGCGACCAAAGAGTGAGAACGTTATCCGAATCGGTAGCTGGAGTCGCCTCGTGACTGTGAATCGAAAAATCACGTCCTAATATGTATAATCAAACCCACGTATACGAGTTAAATATATATTTCATCCGTAAACCATATTTCAACTCGCACAGATCCAAAGTCAAAAACGACGCGAGGATCAACGCTTGCGTCGAGTCTGTTAAGAGGAATCTCGTGTACGTTGTACACAAAGGGAAACACACTGTACGCGAGCGACCATTGCGCAACATCAAGGCTGAAAACGTTGGATAAAATTAAAAAATTAGTGCCAGGCATTTCCCCGGAGAGGCATTAATCTCATCGACAGGGTGGTACAAGGTGATTATGAAAGGGGGTGGTACGGGATGCCTGCTACCGTAGGTAGGGGGATGAGAGCGTTTTAACGCTGGAATATTCCAGGCGGGTTAAAGGGGATGTAAAGGGGATCGC